GCAATAACTAACACACACACGAGTCAGCAATGGGGCTTTAGAAAACTGGATGAATTTTTACATATGAAGTTGGTTAAGAGAACCAAATTCACTTTCTCACGACCACAAGGAGATAGCAATTAAACACTGAATTTTTGTCAAAATATGAACCTGGAGACAAAATAGAGCTGGCAGATGGACCAGAGGATTACGGGCTACCAGCTTCATGATTAACAAATAAAGTATTTTCAGATGGACACATAGTAACAGAGCAGTGCAATAAGAGACTGCGTCTACATGCAAGGTCATGAGAAAATCAACACTAGGTGACCATAGAGCCCAAGTATTATCAAGAAATTTGTTTGAACTTTCAATACAGCCCAAATATTATCAAGAAATTTGTTTGAACTTTCAAAAACAGAAAGTGGAGGAACTTGAAAGCAAATAAAGCTACAGTAATCATAAGCCTATTAGATGAAATTAAAATAAAAAAAAAACCTTGTGCTAAATGCTAGGAAGACTATATGGAGAGAGGGAGAGGTAACCAAAAACTTGCCAGGCTAAAGAAGGGCTAAACAGTTTAAATACAATGCTTGCTTAGCAGACTAAACAATGACCTGAGGTAAATACACAATAAAGGTCAAGAATTTCATCAATCTCATGACTGATCAAAGAAAAGAAATAGTGATGAATCATGACCAATCAAAGAAACAAATAGGAACAAATATGTTTGCAATGTTAAGTGCATAGATGGCATAGCAAAAACAGAAGCTTAAGGATGGACAACTATGTGTAAGGCATGGTTTAGCTAACCTTCTTTGATAAGAATAAGAGGAGTTAGAAAAATTCAGTTGATCACATTAAGTGCATAGATGGGACGAATATGTGTAAGGCATGGTTTAGCTAACCTTCTTTGATAAGAATAAGAGTTAGAAAAATTCAGTCGATCACATTATGAAGGATAAATCAATAACCAACTCTGCTATAAAGGAGTTCATGAAACACCATTTAAAAAACCAAAGAACCATCGGGATGCAACAAGTAAAAATTCCACAACATGATAATTCAGCAACAGCAAGATTTCTTAAAACAAATTCACTTGATAAATAAAACACCTAATAGCTACAAAATCCTTTAAGGTAATAAGGTACTCACAATTCATAACCTTTCTAAATTAAAAAACAACTTAAGGTTCCATTTTCTTGATAATCTTTATATTTACCCCTCAACCAATACCCTAAACCATCAGTCTACACACCTAACATCAATAATTTTATCATCTCTTAATAAGCGCACCAAATCTTAATATTCCATCCCAAATTAACAAAATGCAAATTTAATAGAACAGCTACAAGGACTCAAGATCCAGTTATACTCACAAGCCGGAAGACTGGATATATCAGCAGAAACAGCACAAGGAATCCCCAAATTCGAAAGTGCACCCCTTATAATCCCACAAGGAAAATACAAATACATGCTCATTGCTTGTGCAGCCTTGCTTTCAGGATCTTGTGTTCCATTCTCAACCGATGGATCTCCCGACATTCGCGATAGCCATCGAAACTTATTATCTTGCAACACAAATGTACCCTTACAAAAAAGAAACCCAATTTCTCATTTAACACAAAAAACCCATAATAAGATTCAAAAACCCACAAATAAAAAATTAACAAAAGAACTTACTCTGTGATTTGTTTTCAAGTTGTCGATCTGTTTCTTGAACAACTCAGACCAGAAGTCCTTGCATATGAACTTAATTGCCTCTAAATGATCAGTAAAACGAGGCCGTTCCATTGTGTACCTAACCAGACCAAAATTCAAACAGAGAAGAGTTTAAGAACATAAAATCAAACGAAAAATGAGTTTGATCGGGTGTATGAGGGCGGGTGTACCGTTCAGAGAGCTGATGCCCAACTTGATAACCAATAGCTTCGATCCGACGGGCAGCGAGTTCAGGAGTGTTAGAGTAAAATCGATTGCAGTAAGATGATACCATTTCTGTTAGTAAACCATCGATGCAACTCTCTGATACTTCTCGTCCCATTTCTTTTGCCTTTCTTTTTCGCTGGCTGAGACGACCAAACTGCTTTACAGTTTGTTTTGTTTCTGGGTTTTAGAGATGGGATTTATGGGCTTGGGTACAGGGAATAAATTTGGGCTGCTTTGTCTTTACTGTTTACCTGGCTCTTAACTCCCATGCTGTCAATTTGTTATCATGCCAGGTCATCCTTGGAATATATTTTAGGTTTTTTTTTCCTTTCTTTATTTTTATTTTTTTAAAATATTGAGATTAATATTAGAGAGGTTTTATTTAGAAAAATTGAATAAGGAATGTATCATTATCCGGGGATAAATTTAGGCGAAGTTGACTCACAATTTAGTCTGAAAATATTCAGAATATGTATAATACACTCTTGAGATTTTATTTTATTTTGATTTGGATAATATGTGAGTTTGTTTTTCACTATTATTTTATTTTTTAAATTAAAAAAAAAACATGGAGAAGAAGATGTTATTACTTAAAAATATGTGTTGTCCTATGACTTACATATATTACAAAAAAATCAAATATTAACATAAAAAATAAATTACAATAATAAAAAAATAGATAAGTTTCCTTATTTAATATGACAAATATTCAAATAAAATTGAACTATGACATGTAAATTGATCTAATAGTCCGATTTGTGACTGAGAATTAGATTTGTGGCAAAATAAAAACGAAAGTGTTTTTTTTCTAGAGAGAAAAAAAAAAAAGAACAA